ACCCTGGCCAACAAGCCCTACAAGGGGGATGCCCTCATGTTCTACTCCCTCACACCAGACGGTGAGCCCCGCGCGGGGCCCGCCCCCGCCGGCCGCCGGCGGCCCCAGGGGGCGAGAGACACGGCTCCCGGTCGGCCATGGCGGATGGGGGCCTGCCGGTTTTGGCCGGGCGATTTCACCCCGCGCTGTCGGGGCTTTCCACGAGCCTGCTGATTGGATGCCGCGCTTATTGGCGGCATGGTTGCGCTTGTTCTCATGGACAGCAGCGGAACCTTGATGATCTTATGGCAGAGTGCGTGTATGTGTGTGTTTTTGGGGGGATGATCAAGGTGAGGGCGAGGGCGTCAGCCCCCACCCACTGGCGCGGTGATGCCGCCGCCGCTCCTGGCAGAGGTCTCGCTGCAGCACGCCGCAAGCGTCCTCCCGCCCAGCCCCCTCCTCGCCTGCCGGGGCCGGCGTCCGGCCAACGCCTGCCCTGCCCCGCCCCCAGGCGTGGAGGACGAGATGAGCATCCACGGCAGCTGCCCCACGCTCAAGGGGGTGAGGCCGTGGGGTGTGGGGGGTCCCGTCGAGCGGAGGGGGTGACCGCACCGGCAACAAAAGCGATGATCCCCTTGTCTTGCGTCGGCGGGGCAGCTCAGCTGCCGCGCGCCATCCCGGCGTCGAGCGCCTCGGCGGCCCTGGCTCTGCTGCCACCTGCCGGGCGGTCGGACCCCTCTCACGCCGCCATCGCTGCCTGCGCCATCGCACACCGAACCGCGACGCGGCGCCGCTCGCAGGAGAAGTGGAGTGCCACCAAGTGGATCCACGTCAACGCGTACGGGGGCACCGCCGCGGAGCAGAAGGCCGGCTGGGGCGACTGCGTCGACGCGAACGAGGACTGCGGGGCGTGGGCAAAGTCCGGGGAGTGCAAGAACAACCCGGGCTACATGCTGGTCAGCTGCCGCAAGGCGTGCGGCGCGTGCAAGCCGAAAAAGGGGACGCCCGTTATCGACGTCGGCGCCAAGACGTGATCGGGCGTGGCCCCAGCCGCGCCCCTTGCGATCCTCGCTGCTTCCAAATTTGTGACGTGCGGCGTGCAAACTGTGTGTGTCATCGCTACCAGCGACTATCGTAAACACCCATGCTGCTCTCAAGCATCCGTGCCAGGGTCTGGTAGACGGTAACCTGCGCTCTGATTGGGCCGAGGCTGCCAACGCATGCGAGGTGTTGCGCCATCCCTCCATCCTGGCCTGTCTGCAATGGAGGACATCAGGCCTTCGTATCGATGTTGAAACCTTTTAAAAAAAACCTGATGGACCAATGCGTGCTGCTGCTGTCTATGGGTGGCTTGCTAAACAGCAATGGCAGGCGCGAGAACCCTTTGGACGGTGTGGCCCACCTTGGTATAAAGGGGGGGGAAGGGGCGTTCGTGCGCGCGCGCGGGTGCGCACGTGCATGCACCTGTGTGTGTGTGTGTGTGTGTGTGTGTGCGCCTGTGTGTGCGTGTGTGTGCAGCCGCTTGCTGCCTCTGCCCCTGGCTCGCCCCGGCTCTGCCGTGTGGGTTGTGGATGCACCTTCCCGACTTCGGGGGCTTAAGGGGTTGCCCCCACAAGCCCTGAAATCCCCTGCTGCCTGTTACGCCGGCGCCTCGTTGCCCGCGCTTGGGGCCGCCCCGCCAAGTGTGCAGGCAGCTGTGCTGCAGGTACCACTGCAAACCTGGCCGCGGCTCAAGACGGCACCTCTCTCCGCTGTCTGGATGACACGAGTGTGTTTTCAATTACAGGTGGTGGCTCTAAGCGCTAATCTGTGTGGCAGCCCGCAAAACTAACACCGACCGCCCGAAAACGGGACACGCCCAGTGCAGTGACGAGCAGACATCATTCTTCCATTCCTCAACAGTGGCGCGCATGCGCTTGCCCTCGTGGCTGCACGAAACGCCGCACGTCTCAAAGGCGAGGCGACACCGCAGCCTGCAGCCTGCGGCTGCGCCAGCAGACTGGGGTCAACCATTGTCAAGCTTGTAGGGGCTGTGCCAGCCTGGCGCCAGGCAGCCGCCCGGGCCGGGCACGCAAAGCTGCTTGGCGCATGTTCGCCCCGCAGGGCGGACCGGTGCGGCCGCCGCGGCGGCGCCTGCTGTTCAAGCAGCCCGCTGCGGCGCTATCGCTCCCTGCGTCCCGCCGCCCTCCTGTCGATGCGGCCGGGCCTGGCCCCTGGATCAGAGTGGCCGCTCTGATCACTCTGTGATCGTGGGGAACACCTCCTCAAACTTGGCCTTCTCCGGCCTGCAGTAGTTGTAGCGGCCCCTGCGGCGGCAGGGCGGCGATCCAACGGGAGATGGGGGTCAGGGTTTGGGGCCGCTGCGTGCGCGGCGGCCGGGCGGAACCGGTCCGCTGCGCGACGCGGCTGGGCGGTGGCGCCACCAGCGCAAGCGCTGGATCGCTGCTGATGCGAAGGGGGCCCGCCCATGGGGGCGGGAGGGGCGGGGCGCTGCTGCGCACGATTGGACACTGCCATACGC